GGGAGAGTCCATTTCGTTCGAGGGGTGACAGGTGGGGAAAGTCCATTTCAATTGAGGGGTGACAGGTGGGGAGAGTCCATTTCATTTGAGGGGTGACAGGTGGGGCGAGCCCACTTTACTTGGGGGGTGACAGGTGGGAAGAGTCTATTTTAGTTTAGGGGCGGCAGGTGTGGCAATTACATTCTACCCGAGGGGTTGCAGGTGGGGTGAGCCCATTCTCTTTTGAGGGTGAAAATTACAGGTTAAAACAATATAAAGAATTGTGCAACAATTGGTTGGAAGTTAAAACTATACGATTTCATTCCATTTTCCAAGAATTTCTTTCAAAATAAACAAGTATGCCAGCAAGGTTTGCAAGGCAGGAGTTGTCAACATTTTATTAACATAATTGAAAAGTACATGAAGCTCTACTATGACAAGATTTGAAATCAAACAAATAACTTGGATTATTCAGTATATTTTTGTGACCTGGTGATGGAAGTAGGAAAATTAAAAATGATCTTTACATGAAATCTTTTATTAAACGAAACACGTTCATGAGAAGAGTAATTTGAACATTTGTGATCAATACAATACTATCCCAAACTATTTAGCGAATTTCAGTGAGAGTTGCAATCTTTAAACTATCTGTATTTGGTGCTTAATTTCATTATAGTATAAAACTATTGTAGAAATTGAAACAAATTTATCAAAGTACGATTGTAAGTACAAATTATTGCTGCAGGTATTTCTAAAATATTTTGAGTACAATTTGTTTCTGTGTTTAAAAAAATTATTGCCCAAATAGGAATTACTTGGACACAAAAAAATTTGGGGCACAATAAAAAAAGCCAAAAACTATTTCAAGTTGAACAAATAAGGTAATACCAACATAAATAGCAAGAGCAATATTGATATATTAATTAAACTTTACAGAAAATTTTGAGAGCGCTCGACAAGTTGTTACATGGCTAGCAGATCAATCATTTCTCTTATTATAATTACCATTTTAATACTTCATATCAAAATAAACAACCACAGAGAAATGCGTTTATTCAGTTTTAAGATAATAATGTGCATATAAAAGCGTCGTGTTCCAGAATCCAAACAAAAGACTGGGTTACTTGCAGGTGCCGTTTATGGAGTAAGTCGGAAAATGTGGTGCATCTGAAATACGAAAAAAATATTTAGTATTGATACTTGCGTATGATAGATATATAAGGTTTATTCTTATAATCAAAATAACTAACATCTTGTTGACATTTCTGAGTTTCAGAAAAAGGTTTGGCTAGCGCACCTTAGATAATGGTATGAAATGAATGCATGTGTCGAATTTACGTTGGCCGTCAAGCTATTGCACTAAAAATTGAATTTAATAATACCGGGTATGTATATATATAACATGCCTTGATATTGTTAGCGTTGTAATCTATGGACAACATGAGACACCTTACATGCAGACGGTTCAACCTCCACGTACAATAATATTCTTTTTAGTTAGCATTAAACTTAGTGCATTGAGAAACCGTGTGTCTGCGCGTGTATGTATGCGCGCGCGCTAGTGTGTTGAAATATCTAATGAGTACTTACCTGAAAAAATCTTGACTGCTTGTCCATCTAGATCTACAACAGAAAACAGCTGACGTTTCACGCCATTCATCTAAAAGAAACATTAAAAAGTATTAAATAACTGCAAACTACATACGTATTTACAAGTAAATGGGGAACACATTTTTGTATCAAAACTCAGTATTAAAGATCACTATAATCTTTATTCGTCATATTCATTGCGGTCATGCCACCCACATTGATTCTCATTCAGTTGTCTAGGGTTAAATTTTTTTTCAAAACGATAGAAAGTTTACGGTGCTAAAAGATTTCAAATAAATTTAAATGTAGCTCATTGTTCATCCGTGTGCACTAATGTTTCTGCATGTATTCTGATATAGAACATATCAAAGACGTTATAAACATTTGACTAAACTTACGCGCTTCTAGTGTTTTATTACAAAGATAATTGTAGGGGCCTACATATAATGATGCTTGCAAGATATATTTTCCTCTACGCCTCATAAAAGCTTGAACTTGAGACTGTACCTTGCATATCCTGCGTCTGTACTTTACGGTGTCCAACTGTCGAGTGACCAGTTTGGAAGATAACTCATGCTGCGATGAGTGGCGTATTGTTATGTAAATATCAACAGGTAGGGTTCATTATAGGGGAGGGGTCGTGGCTCAAACCATTCTCACGAGAAAGAGCAAATGTACATAATCTAATAGTTTCTTAGAAAAATAACTGTATTCCCTTAGACATCTGATGTATTCAGACGTTCTTAAACTACCGATATTACACGTTAGATATTGAACCCATTCATCTATAACTACGTTTGCTTTGCACCCGTTTCAAGTGCCAAGCCTTGGTGTGGGTTCGGGGCCTGCTTAAGGGCCTCGAAAATTTTTGGTGTTTTAGAGAGAAAACAGTGTCCTTTGGTGAGGTTTAGAACTGTGATTTAGCTAGTCAAAATTCTTATTTCAAGAGGGGAATATTAGTGTGATACATTTTTCAGAAACCGAAGGGGAGGGGGGTCAGGACCCCCCCCCCCCTTGAAATCCGCCACTGATAACAACTTAGTGTGTCCTGGATCCACGTATTTATCAACATGATGATCAACGTCAGAGAGGGTATGTGCGTTTTTCTGATATAAATTTTCCGTTAAATAAAAGCCTAAAACCCTAGTTCTCTACATGTTTTCTCGGGCAAATCAGAGGAAAATTCTGTGCAGACACTACAGCTAGGTATCGCTTTTTATATTGATGTATTTATTTTTTAAAGATGGGGTTTGGTTAATAAATTGCTACTATTTGGTACTATATTGTCTGTAACTGCCAAGATCCAAGAGTGCCATCGGGTGCGAACGACTTGTTTGAAAAATAAATATGTAATGAAATTATTTTAAAAAAATAATAAAATAAATAAAAAACATTGTCATAACGATGTATGTTTCAAAGATAAGGCCTAAAACAGACATTGAATATCCAATTCTAGAGGGAGAGGGCATTACTAAGAGACCAATCTATACCCCCTCCCCTGCCAGTCCTCATATATCAAGGCCAATACGAATGGTCGAAGTTTACGATGCGATCTGTTTCTTAGCTTCTCCCTTGATACGTGCCTAATTGGAGACTGTTACTTAACTGTACATGTCTCATCTTTGTCTAGTCAGTGTGATTTAACAGTGCCGCAATGCATCCAAATGCACATGAGCAACTTTCCACATCTGAAAGCGAAATTTTACTATCAAGTTTAGGAAATTTTACAAAAATCATTTTAAACTGTATAGACTACCCGACATAATCATCATTATGTCTAGTAGCTTGTTTGCATTTTTTCTTTAAGTAACCTATCTCTGTGTTGTACAGCCAGTCTATGACAATAAACAACCTTGCATCAATAAGAAACGCCCCGTGCGAACACGTCCTGGGCAGTATTATGTAACCCTTTCCTTTGTTCTTTTAACATGTTCAGGTAAAATTTCTCAAAGATTTTTGTTAACATTGAATAAAAAGCCTTGCGAAAATATTTTTTATTAAATATCATAAAAGAAAACGTACCTATTATGCAGCAAAAGTAAAAAACGCAAAGTTACGATCTGACGGAAACCCTCAAGAAAATTGACAGGAAATGAAACTACCAAACTACTATTAATCATTATAATATGGCAGTAAAGTGTCTCTTAACTCACTCTAAACACATTAAGTAATGACTCACAATGCTGACCCTACTTTTGTTACTTATTTGCCCAATAAAAAACGGGAATATCTCACATGACTAGCTGGTGCTGTCATCAAAGCTATCCATACGAACACATTTTATTGGCTGCTTGTTTTCTTTTTTACCACAAATATTTCATCAGTTTCATTCAAGTATTTATTAGGAATTGCAATCATCCAGAATCTCATTTCACAACTTTTTGTATTAATATTGAATCTGTTAAGTGTTATATCAAGATTTCTCATGTTAACCTTATTATTATTATTATTATTATTATTATTATTATTATTGATACTAGCACATTTGGTACAATGGCTATGATCTAACAATATATAATACATGATGTATTGATGAATGCACTATAAAATATTGAGATAATCAGTAATGTATCTTACTGTCTGATGCATGTCCCAGGAATNTAGGGTTCATTATAGGGGAGGGGTCGTGGCTCAAACCATTCTCACGAGAAAGAGCAAATGTACATAATCTAATAGTTTCTTAGAAAAATAACTGTATTCCCTTAGACATCTGATGTATTCAGACGTTCTTAAACTACCGATATTACACGTTAGATATTGAACCCATTCATCTATAACTACGTTTGCTTTGCACCCGTTTCAAGTGCCAAGCCTTGGTGTGGGTTCGGGGCCTGCTTAAGGGCCTCGAAAATTTTTGGTGTTTTAGAGAGAAAACAGTGTCCTTTGGTGAGGTTTAGAACTGTGATTTAGCTAGTCAAAATTCTTATTTCAAGAGGGGAATATTAGTGTGATACATTTTTCAGAAACCGAAGGGGAGGGGGGTCAGGACCCCCCCCCCCTTGAAATCCGCCACTGATAACAACTTAGTGTGTCCTGGATCCACGTATTTATCAACATGATGATCAACGTCAGAGAGGGTATGTGCGTTTTTCTGATATAAATTTTCCGTTAAATAAAAGCCTAAAACCCTAGTTCTCTACATGTTTTCTCGGGCAAATCGGAGGAAAATTCTGTGCAGACACTACAGCTAGGTATCGCTTTTTATATTGATGTATTTATTTTTTAAAGATGGGGTTTGGTTAATAAATTGCTACTATTTGGTACTATATTGTCTGTAACTGCCAAGATCCAAGAGTGCCATCGGGTGCGAACGACTTGTTTGAAAAATAAATATGTAATGAAATTATTTTAAAAAAATAATAAAATAAATAAAAAACATTGTCATAACGATGTATGTTTCAAAGATAAGGCCTAAAACAGACATTGAATATCCAATTCTAGAGGGAGAGGGCATTACTAAGAGACCAATCTATACCCCCTCCCCTGCCAGTCCTCATATATCAAGGCCAATACGAATGGTCGAAGTTTACGATGCGATCTGTTTCTTAGCTTCTCCCTTGATACGTGCCTAATTGGAGACTGTTACTTAACTGTACATGTCTCATCTTTGTCTAGTCAGTGTGATTTAACAGTGCCGCAATGCATCCAAATGCACATGAGCAACTTTCCACATCTGAAAGCGAAATTTTACTATCAAGTTTAGGAAATTTTACAAAAATCATTTTAAACAGTATAGACTACCCGACATAATCATCATCATTATGTCTAGTAGCTTGTTTGCATTTTTTCTTTAAGTAACCTATCTCTGTGTTGTACAGCCAGTCTATGACAATAAACAACCTTGCATCAATAAGAAACGCCCCGTGAGAACACGTCCTGGGCAGTATTATGTAGCCCTTTCCTTTGTTCTTTTAACATGTTCAGGTAAAATTTCTCAAAGATTTTTGTTAACATTGAATAAAAAGCCTTGCGAAAATATTTTTTATTAAATATCATAAAAGAAAACGTACCTATTATGCAGCAAAAGTAAAAAACGCAAAGTTACGATCTGACGGAAACCCTCAAGAAAATTGACAGGAAATGAAACTACCAAACTACTATTAATCATTATAATATGGCAGTAAAGTGTCTCTTAACTCACTCTAAACACATTAAGTAATGACTCACAATGCTGACCCTACTTTTGTTACTTATTTGCCCAATAAAAAACGGGAATATCTCACATGACTAGCTGGTGCTGTCATCAAAGCTATCCATACGAACACATTTTATTGGCTGCTTGTTTTCTTTTTTACCACAAATATTTCATCAGTTTCATTCAAGTATTTATTAGGAATTGCAATCATCCAGAATCTCATTTCACAACTTTTTGTATTAATATTGAATCTGTTAAGTGTTATATCAAGATTTCTCATGTTAACCTTATTATTATTATTATTATTATTATTATTATTATTATTGATACTAGCACATTTGGTACAATGGCTATGATCTAACAATATATAATACATGATGTATTGATGAATGCACTATAAAATATTGAGATAATCAGTAATGTATCTTACTGTCTGATGCATGTCCCAGGAATTATTTTTGCACTTATTGCTATACATATATGACAGATTATTGTTATTATCAGGTATATTTCTTGTAGAACATATTGATTGCTGTTTAAATTATTTCTTGTCAAAATAAAAAAGGACTGCACCCCCCTTCAAATAATCCTGGATCCACCCCTGTTATATAACTGCTGCCTCTACTTCTTCAAGGTGACTCTTAGCCTAGAAAATGAATATTTTAATAATGAATTTGGTGAATTGAATATTAGAAGAATCCAGTATCAATAAACTCAATAAATATTCAAATGGCACAATATAAGGGGTGTGTCTTTCAGGGATGTTAAGATGATTGATTTGAAATGTAACAGCGTTAATTCAGAGTAATGAATATATAATATCCACGTGTAGGTTAATTATTTCATTCAAAATCTTAACAAAGGGCACCGTGGATTCTTGTGCAGGCAAGATTAAGATATCTACTAGAATCTGACTATCTACTTCCTACATTAAGGGCGCATTCCCAGAGCTTTTAGATTGATCTAACTCCCTGGGGGTTCACACTAAATTGCTGTCGGCCGAGTGCGCACGGTAGTTAATTAATACAGCTTTTAGTAGGCGGGGCAGACGCTTAAGCCGGCTAAGCTGACAGTAATCTAGTGAGACTCCCCACAGGGATAGATCGATCTAAAATCTGTGGGAATGGGGTCTTAGTGTTAATAAAAAATGTTCTTACCCATAAGAGGAAGGAAACAGAAGCTCTGCTAACTTGTTTAACCCTTTCAACATTTAAGGAATCAAGTAGAGCCCTTGCGCTGATGGCAGATGCTTTGGAGACCTTTTTGGCGTCAAAATGTTCCATACCATGCACCATACCCTGTTCACCTTTGTGGACCATTACTTTTCTGACAAACTTCCAATTCTACAAATAAAAAGATTCTTCCATCATTATATTACTAAAAAAATACTGTTGTAGTAAAGTTAAAGAATTCCAAGATGAATTGTTTTGAAGAATGGGTGTATGTTGTAAAGAAAATTGTTTACAATTCAATTAATCCCAAATTAACAAGTAAATAAAAATGAGTGGAAAATGTCAAAGTCACATAAAGTTTTAGCTGATTGATTAATTCCATCACAAATAAGTAAGCTTCCATGATAAGGATAAGAGATGCAAACTTAATTTGTGAACATTACAAGTATGATCTTACAATTTATTTTCGAATATTTAGTTTTGGAAGACGTTAACAAGCACTTACAGAGATTGCTTAATGAGGAAATGCTGAATAATTGATAGAAAAATTTAAATGGAAGAGAGTTCAAAAGTTGATGGAATGAAAATAAGTAAACATGTGATCAGCTTGGAGAGATCAAGTATAAATACATGCACTAATACCCTATATAGGAGAAAGTTGTCAAAGAAATGTTTAATATAAGCTTTAACTCGTTGTCATCATAACTGTTTTTACCAAGAGTATGTGTCTACAACTACTGTACGATAGGAGTGATATGGATGAAAATATAGAGCTACCATACTTGGAAGTATATTCAATTGCAAAATGTTGAAAATAACAAATGTTTAATTTTTTTTCCATATTTCATTTCAATCCAACAAAGGAACACACACACCATTAAACTGTCTGTGAGCATTGAAACTGTGGCTTATACATACTGCATAGGTAGGTCCCATTAGGACTGTACCACAATGAATGAAGAATTATGTAATCTAAATAATAAGCTCTTTCTTGAATAAGAAGTAAATATTATAAACTTATATCCTAGCCAACCCATTGTGTCAATCAATTGTGTGCCAATAGAATATTTATAACTGAACTATTTAATACATGACGTACTGATGCTAGCTTCTCAGGGTAACCCAGCAATAAAACTACAGCATGTAAAATGGATTTCACATCTTGAGGGGGGGCGGCCAATGATTTAAGCTCTGTTAAGTCGGCAGTCTTGACGGTTGACATAGTCTGTTCTGCACTCACTGTATCTGAAAATATAGAAAATGTACCTGATATCCCAAATTATTAACTTCTTTACCTCCCCCCCCCTCTTGTGGGCATTTGATTCCCTTAACTGAGACAATTAAATGTGTCTCTCTGTAAAGTTCTCTCTCAGGTAATATATCGTGTAATTTCTCCATGCAGTGGTGACAGGTGCTTCGATCTTGAAAGAGATACAGAAAAAAAGCTGTTCATACAGTGAAAATTTTAATATTTCATTACAATCATACATTTGAAAACTTTGTTTGATCCACCCCAGTAGCCATTTAATTATCTAGTTCACCGCCACTGCCCTAGATTGACTACATTCCCCCCCTTAATCCAGTGCCCTTGCTTGAAATATAACACGACTATGTACAGCCACCTGTGTTTATCTAATCCATATTATTTATCCATACAGAGATCACTGTATAATGACTTAGTTTTAAAATATAGAGCACCTGTGGGTCCCGTTTTTTACACCTACCTTCGCACCCTTAATATATACGTAGGTTTCATCAACACAGTAACGCTAAGAACTTAAGTGTTTAAGGAATGTTGTGATGGGTCAACAATGTCAACTGCCCCCCGCGGTTTCTGTCGTAATTTAATCGCTGATATCATAGCATTCTTCATTGTGTTCCAATCACAACCGGCACAACTGACGCAACGGTGCCTTTGGGTTTCCTCTAGAAGACTTTCAGCGCATTTTTAATTCTTTTAAATGGATGTAACGTCGCTGCTTCGTCTTAGGGACCTGCTAATTGGTGTTAAGTATCTGCAGCCAAGGAATTATCAACTGCCTAACTACAACGGGCCTGTTTGGAAGTATCCTAACGTTAAATAGAGACCAGTCTTCAGGTTTTTACATTATTTTGATATGAATGAAGAAAGTTTTGGTATTGGTATTTTGTATAATCATTTTATACAATGAGGTTCAAATTGTTTTAAAAGCATGGAAACATCACCCNTAATTTTTGCACTTATTGCTATACATATATGACAGATTATTGTTATTATCAGGTATATTTCTTGTAGAACATATTGATTGCTGTTTAAATTATTTCTTGTCAAAATAAAAAAGGACTGCACCCCCCTTCAAATAATCATGGATCCACCCTTGTTATATAACTGCTGCCTCTACTTCTTCAAGGTGACTCTTAGCCTAGAAAATGAATATTTTCATAATGAATTTGGTGAATTGAATATTAGAAGAATCCAGTATCAATAAACTCAATAAATATTCAAATGGCACAATATAAGGGGTGTGTCTTTCAGGGATGTTAAGATGATTGATTTGAAATGTAACAGCGTTAATTCAGAGTAATGAATATATAATATCCACGTGTAGGTTAATTATTTCATTCAAAATCTTAACAAAGGGCACCGTGGATTCTTGTGCAGGCAAGATTAAGATATCTACTAGAATCTGACTATCTACTTCCTACATTAAGGGCGCATTCCCAGAGCTTTTAGATCGATCTAACTCCCTGGGGGTTCACACTAAATTGCTGTCGGCCGAGTGCGCACGGTAGTTAATTAATACAGCTTTTAGTAGGCGGGGCAGACGCTTAAGCAGGCTAAGCTGACAGTAATCTAGTGAGACTCCCCACAGGGATAGATCGATCTAAAATCTGTGGGAATGGGGTCTTAGTGTTAATAAAAAATGTTCTTACCCATAAGAGGAAGGAAACAGAAGCTCTGCTAACTTGTTTAACCCTTTCCACATTTAAGGAATCAAGTAGAGCCCTCGCCTTGACGGCAGATACTTTAGAGACCTTTTTGGCGTCAAAATGTTCCATACCATGCATCATACCCTGTTCACCTTTGTGGACCATTACTTTTCTGACAAACTTCCAATTCTTCAAATAAAAAGATTCTTCCATCATTATATTACTAAAAAAATACTGTTGTAGTAAAGTTAAAGAATTCCAAGATGAATTTTTTTGAAGAATGGGTGTATGTTGTAAAGAAAATTGGTTACGATTCAATTAATCCCAAATTAACAAGTAAATAAAAATGAGTGGAAAATGTCAAAGTCACATAAAGTTTTAGCTGATTGATTAATTCCATCACAAATAAGTAAGCTTCCATGATAAGGATAAGAGATGCAAACTTAATTTGTGAACATTACAAGTATGATCTTACAATTTATTTTCGAATATTTAGTTTTGGAAGACGTTAACAAGCACTTACAGAGATTGCTTAATGAGGAAATGCTGAATAATTGATAGAAAAATTTAAATGGAAGAGAGTTCAAAAGCGGATGGAATGAAAATAAGTAAACATGTGATCAGCTTGGAGAGATCAAGTATAAATACATGTACCAATACCCTATATAGGAGAAAGTTGGCAAAGAAATGTTTAATAAAAGCTTTAACTCGTTGTCATCATAACTGTTTTTACCAAGAGTATGTGTCTACAACTACTGTTCGATAGGAGTGATATGGATGAAAATATAGAGCTACCATACTTGGAAGCATATTCAATCGCAAAATGTTGAAAATAACAAATGTTTAATTTTTTTTCCATATTTCATTTCAATCCAACAAAGGAACACACACACCATTAAACTGTCTGTGAGCATTGAAACTGTGGCTTATATATACTGCATAGGTAAGTCCCATTAGGACTGTACCACAATGAATGAAGAATTATGTAATCTAAATAATAAGCTCTTTCTTGAATAAGAAGTAAATATTATAAACTTATATCCTAGCCAACCCATTGTGTCAATCAATTGTGTGCCAATAGAATATTTATAACTGAACTATTTAATACATTACGTACTGATGCTAGCTTCTCAGGGTAACCCAGCAATAAAACTACAGCATGTAAAATGGATTTCACATCTTGAGGGGGGGCGGCCAATGATTTAAGCTCTGTTAAGTCGGCAGTCTTGACGGTTGACATAGTCTGTTCTGCACTCACTGTATCTGAAAATATAGAAAATGTACCTGATATCCCAAATTATTAACTTCTTTACCTCCCCCCCCTCTTGTGGACATTTGATTCCCTTAACTGAGACAATTAAATGTGTCTCTCTGTAAAGTTCTCTCTCAGGTAATATATCGTGTAATTTCTCCATGTAGTGGTGACAGGTGCTTCGATCTTGAAAGAGATACAGAAAAAAGCTGTTCATACAGTGAAAATTTTAATATTTCATTACAATCATACATTTGAAAACTTTGTTTGATCCACCCCAGTAGCCATTTAATTATCTAGTTCACCGCCACTGCCCTAGATTGACTACATTCCCCCCCTTAATCCAGTGCCCTTGCTTGAAATATAACACGACTATGTACAGCCACCTGTGTTTATCTAATCCATATTATTTATCCATACAGAGATCACTGTATAATGACTTAGTTTTAAAGCATAGAGCACCTGTGGGTCCCGTTTTTTACACCTACCTTCGCACCCTTAATATATACGTTGGTTTCATCAACACAGTAACGCTAAGAACTTAAGTGTTTAAGGAATGTTGTGATGGGTCAACAATGTCAACTGCCCCCCGCGGTTTCTGTCGTAATTTAATCGCTGATATACATAGCATTCTTCATTGTGTTCCAATCACAACCGGCACAACTGACGCAACGGTGGCTTTGGGTTTCCTCTAGAAGACTTTCAGCGCATTTTTAATTCTTTTAAATGGATGTAACGTCGCTGCTTCGTCTTAGGGACCTGCTAATTGGTGTTAAGTATCTGCAGCCAAGGAATTAACAACTGCCTAACTACAACGGGCCTGTTTGGAAGTATCCTAACGTTAAATAGAGACCAGTCTTCAGGTTTTTACATTATTTTGATATGAATGAAGAAAGTTTTGGTATTGTTATTTTGTATAATCATTTTATACAATGAGGTTCAAATTGTTTTAAAAGCATGGAAACATTGAAATTGAAATAAATGGAAAAGTGGATGCTTTAATATTCAACTTGAAAATGGAAACATAAATGTGTTATTTCCAACCAGAGAAGTGGTAAAAAATCTTTAAAAAACAACACCATATGTCAGTACAAAATACCTTTATTGTGATTTCAGCATTCTATAATAGAATTTGGTTCTACATGATCTGATGTATGTATATTACAATTCACTTTCAACTAGGCATATAAATATTCTGCTTTTCTTTTATCTACACGTATATTACAAGGACACTTGATATCTTCACAGTGTCATTAAAATAACAATCAGGACAGGGCCATACTTGGAATGTGCATATATAAATATATAGACTCATTAATTCATACCATCTCAACATCAAGGCACAACAGGGATTGCTTGCTATGATTATCCATCTGTGACTAGACCATAGTAGAAGCTGTTGTCTGATATATAATATGTTTTGATGTGTTTAAAGCCCCCCCCCCCCAAAAAAAAAAAAAAAGTACAGCAGGGAGATATGTACTGGCACCCCTACATACTGCTGGACATATACAGTGCTTTGGGACACTCTTAATATGAGCACTTGATGATTGGATGGATTAAGTTAAATATTACAAAGAGAGGCACACAAGCCCACCTTAGTTTGGCCCTTCACATAGGGTGCCTTAATCAGTAGTGCAAAAATACAAGTCAACAATAACAGCCAGCCTGTACATGGTTGAAATTCTCATTTGTGAAATATAATAATTTGTATCTATATATAATATTTTACATGTAAAAATGTTTACAAAATGACTGTTCATTCTCATACCCTGTATAGTTATCACTCAGAGGTTAACAATTCAACACAGGATTTCAGTAAATAAAATACTTCAATATGCACAAATATACACCATGCTTCAAGCTCCTCTTCCCCAATCCTTATTTTAGGAGTTACTACACACAAAGCTAAACTAAGGAATGTTGGTGGACTTAAGAAATGAAATCTGCAAATTTGGGCACAGCAAACATGGAAGGCATCTTAAAATATAAAATAATTCTGTACATAAATGTGATGTTATGAAATGTGGACTTATGCCTGTATTCTATAGATGCTTAATCAGTCTTTAACCTTGTTAATATTCACTGTCTGATCCCATTAAAATATAGTGAGATTCCACTAAAAACCTCCAGATTTCATTAAATAAAACCAGAATTAAAACAAAAATGTCCTCACAAATAAAACGTTGTGACTGCAAGTACTGGGAAATATGTGTATAATTATTCAATCCTTAAAAATGGGGACAAAATATAAAATTCTAATCACGTGAAAAACCCCCATCCTCATCTCAAATGTTAAATGCTGAAAGGATTCTCTGTATTTTCTCTTAACAGTTTTCAAGTAATTACTAAGTTGCTAGTATCATCAATAAACATAAAATTGATATAGATAAAAATGAGTCAATCCATGATTATGTTGGCTTGGTATGATATCAGTGCTGACACCTACAGGACAAGGCAAAGCCTGAACACTGCTGCCATCTATGAATATGTCAACCCACTACAGGCTTTCTTCCATAACATTACTAGTCTAATAGCATTCTAGTTCCAATGCCCAGTTCTGGCTCAGCACATGTACATGATTACGTTACAAATGACAGGCATGACTATCCCCAACTGTCTGTTTCTGTTAATAGTCATATCCTCAGTTCTTGTTCCGACTCAGAGGAACCACCAACGTGATTCAGAGAATGTTTGGACCTGGACCTGTGTGGTGTGCTGTGACCAGACACACTACGACTGGCTCCGTGGGACACTAATGGCGAGATGGAGGGACTGCGCGTGGCGAGGGGGGATAACGTGGGGGTGAAGGAGGGTGATAAAGCAGGAGAGGTGAATGTAGAATCATGGCTGATGGGAGATCGCGGCAGACTGGCAGACAAAGTCATCTGACTGGTTCGTGTAGAGTTAATGGCTGATGAACCTGTTGAGGCAGTGTAATGTGATTTTGGCATGGCGGCCTGTCCCCCGCCTCCAGCTCCTCCCCCGCCTCCATCCGACTGGAAGCCATCTTGATTGGAGAGAGATCGGGGGATCGGTGGAGCATTCGTAATAATTGGGGGAGGTATTGTCCTTACTTGCTGGGGATTCATATTATTTTTCATAGGCCGTTGTGGCACTATTTGTGTTGGCTGTTTTTTAGGAGTAATACTTTCATCTTTCAGACGTGCAATTTCTGCAAAGACGTCTGCCAGTGGGTGATATTGCGGCCCCCAGTCTAATAAATAGTCCCAGTTATAGGACCCACTGAATTCCTCCTCACTGTTTATAACACTGGACAGAGATCCAGCGTGCGAGGGCTCGGTTTCCGTGAAACCAAACTCCCTGGTACCATCCATGATGGCAAACTCTTCGTCTGCTTCAACCTTGTCTAACTTGGCATTGACAATGAGGCCAATGTCCAAGCCATCACCCTCTCCTCCCCCTTCTTCTGAAAACTGATGCATACTTTCCACAGATGACGTAGGTTTTGAGTCAAATTTGATTTTGGAGCTATCGATACCCAGCCGTGCCAAGTATTCCTGATGATTATGAACACTGTGTTCTGATATGTTGTCATCATCTTGCTGAATTCCTGAATCTGGCATCCCAGAGCGGTGATGAAGCTGAGTTGACGGTGCCTGATTAATACGGCTAATTTCCTCATCATCCTCGTCCCCGTCATCCGCAGACCCACGCCCACTGGAACTATGGGATTGATCAGATATGTCTGAAGTGGTGATATTATGGCGACCATCATAGCTGTGTATTTCGTTATATCTTGGTGGTGCTTCAATGCCAGCAGGGGGCAGTGCCATGTCCACATGGTCAAAGTTGTCCCCCACTGCCTGCTGATAGTTGTTGGCTGGCTTCCTCTTCCGTTCCCGCCCCCATTTACACACAATGGAGATGACAATAACCAGGATGATCACCAGTATGGAGAACACGATCACCAACACCAGTGGTGCGCCAGTCAGCACAAACCCTGCTGTTGCCGCCCCAACGTTACACCCAGCACAAGAGTAGTCAATCTGCACCTCTGCGGTCACGTACGCCTTCTGCGAGCCTTCCTTCCCGCTGTCTGCCATGATCACCAAGGCCTGCACGCCACTCTGGACATCACGACGGTTGCGGTTGTGAGCATTCAGCGAGTAGCGGGGCACAAAACGTTTTTTACGTTTGGTTGTCTCCGAGAAAAGTTTCTTGACTGTGATGTTACCAGACTTGGAATCAATACTGAAATAGTCCTGCGGCTCCTGAAACTGGTACAGAATGCGGCCGTCGGGGCCACTGTCGCGGTCCGTAGCACTGACCTGTCCTATGACATACCCTACTTCAGCATTACCCGGGACATCAAAGGTAAACTTACTGGATGTAAACACGGGCTCAAATTCATCCACACTTTCAATGTTCACCAAAACCGGGATGGAAACTGGAGTTCCACCCAAGTCAGCGGCGGTAATTTTGAATCGATAACTGTTCATGGATTCGTAGTCAAAAATGGCCACAGTTGTGACCTCTCCTGTGTTTGCATCAATACTGAAAAGACCTTCGTCCTCGATGATACCGTACTTTAATTGGCCGTACACTCCAGCATCTTTATCATTGGCATGAGCTGTGAAGACGCTGGTTCCTGCAGGCTCGTTCTCTCGTACTTTCTCAATATACATCATGACAGGGAAAGATGGCTTATTGTCATTGACATCTGTGACATTCACAATGACAGTCACAATTGACGACAACCTGTTCTGACCCGAGTCTTGAGCTTTGACAATCAATTTGTGCTCCTTATTTGTGTCGTAATCCAGTGATTTAGTTGGAGCAATAGCAATGGTTCCAAAAGTTGAGTTAATGGTGAACAGGCCATTATCGTTGCCAGAGGTGATGCTGTATTCCACCTCCTGGTTGCTGCCAATGTCTTTATCAGTAGCAACAACCTGAAGGAATGGTTCGCCTGACGTAAAGTTCTCCATCACCGTGGCGATGTAAGGATTCTGGGTAAATGTAGGTGGCCAGTCATTGATATCATCAACAATGATATTGACAGTTGTGTTTGTACTCCTTGGTGGCGTCCCTTTGTCTGTGGCTGATACAACCAGAGTATAGTAAGCAGTGCTTTCCCGATCCAAGGAACCAGTCAGAAAAATCTCCCCTGTAGAGCTGTCGATTTCAAAGGAATTATTCAGGTTGCCTCTGATGATAGCGTAGACGATCTTCTGGTTGGCTTCGGAGTCATCTTTATCCTGTGCTTTCAGGGTGAGGATGACATCACCCTTGGTGCCATCTTCTGGAACATGGACACTGGAAAGAAACATAAGGCAAGGTTAACATGGAGGACTTCAAATTGATATAAAATCTTTTAGATTCAGCCATTTTCTGTCAAAAATTAACAGCAATACTGAAACATAATAGGATACAATCAATCAAAATCCATTTACCACAGCTGAGTATAAGATCCATTTGTCTCCCAGCTGCTATCTGTTGTCATCTCTTTCATTTGTTTGAGTGTGTATACCAGCACAACTAGCAATTTATTCAATATTTCTCTACACATATCACATATCTGCAGTTATTGTTCTCTATATTTCTCTACACATACAACTTACCTGTAGTTTTTCTTAGTAAACTCAGGTGAATGGTCGTTGATATCAGTGACCTGTATCCTGACGGCCACCACATCGGTCAGTGGCGTCCGGCCGTGGTCAGTGGCCTTGATGACCAGCTGATAGGTGTGCTGACTGGAGTCAAAGTGGATGGTCTTGTTGGTGTATATGGCACCTGAAACAGGGACACAGACAACACTCATTAATATGTTTAGGTTCAAAGAAAAAAACGCTTTGTTTTGATTGCAAAAAGCAAAATTTTTTCATTAATCTATTTTTCCATAGAAGCATTTTCAAATTGAACTATAACAAGAAAATCACTATTAAAAAGATTGTTTTTGGCAAACTAAAAGAACAAGCATTGTCCATTACATGGTTAAGCTAACAAGGCAAGAAAACATGCAACAGCAAAGTGATAAGAATAGTTTCTGTTTATGTGCACAAACTGAATGTTCTTTTTTTCAGCATAGCAACCTACCAGACTGCGGATCTACATAGAAGCCATCGTCTCTGGCGGCACCAATGATACTATAGGTGATCTGGGAGTTAGATCCAGAGTCTGCGTCAGTCGCCTGAACTGTAATGATGTAGGCATTGGGGGGAGTCAGTTCTGGCAGAGTCACTTGGTACGACTCCTGGAGGAATTTGGGACTGTTGTCATTCTCGTCAATCACGTTGATCACCAGGTCTGTGTAGGTCGGGTGGATACCATCTGTGGCCTGAAAATATAGAAAAACATATCTTGTATAGGAGAAAGTATTGTGTGGGGAAGTAAATTCAAAATACTCACTAGGAAATCTATCAACTGAGCATTACCTTATAATCCGCGTAAGTCTTACTTGAACTTACATATCTACTGAATTCTCTTTGTCAGTTTTACACTACTGAATCAAAATATTAAAAGTTGCAATTGAAAACTAAACTGAAAGCTGATCTTCAGGAGCATTTCAACCTTTAGTCTCATCTTTAAAACATTTAAGCGCCTGTTTGCTTCATAATATATATTTATCACATACATATCAACTTTACACCATGACAGATGAGTTCTCACCTTTATTTTCAGGGTATACTGTGCCCTCTGCTCCCTGTCCAGTGGTTTTGTGAGGGTGATCCTGCCACTGAACCGGTCAATACTGAAGGTGTTGTCAGGGTTGCCATCCTCGGCAAACTCGTACTTCAGGTCAGGATTGAGATCCACGTCATTGGCAGTTATAGTGGTGATTATTGACCCGACATCAATTCCTGGGAGGAGGAGGGAATATATTGTATGAAACTGACCAAAGATATCATCCCAAGACAATGTTTTCTTGGTAAGGTGATCATTCAAGAAATAGACGATTTAAGAATTGTACATATTTTTAGAAAATAATATTTAGGAACCTCAGAAAAACATATGACATTCCAAATATCTACATTTATACTTTTCCATTAAAATTCACCGCACCTTCATCTACATCCACGGGACTGGCCATGGGGAAGATGGGGGAGTTATCATTCACATCTACAACATTAATCCTCAGAGTACAAGTACTGGAGCGCGGGTTGGCGCCCTGGTCCTTGGCCTCGATCTCAAGACGATATGAGCTGTGGATCTCGCGGTCCAGTTCAATGTTCGCCATGACGATCCCGCTGCGAGGAGGACTGATGATGAAGGCGTCATCGACGTTGCCGTTGATAATGGTGTAGGTGATCTGGCCGTTGGTGCCACTGTCTGCATCCGTGGCAGAGACCTGGAAGAAATCAAAGATATGGTTCAGTGGTCACTGCTCAAAATAGGTGTTAACTATCATTATCCCAGTTATGCCTAAGGTATACAGTCAAAATGAAATACACTTTTTCTCTTTAAACATCAAGCTGTAAGGGAATTATAAGTCTCATAACACAAACCAACAAAGTGACAGGTACTTTCATTTTACAGCCATCAACATCTACGAGTGATTTTCCTCCCTAACCACCATCCTCATATACTTTCATAACCAACCTACCTGAGTGACATAGGTGTTTATAATCAACCTACCTGAGTGACATAGGTTTTTATTATCAACCTACCTGAGTGACATAGGTGTTTATTATCAACCTACCTGAGTGACATAAGTGTTTATAATCAACCTACCTGAGTGACATAGGTGTTTCTCTCCTTCCCCTCCCAGGTAGATGAGATGTACCTCTCCTGGGCAAAACGGGGCGCATTGTCGTTCTCGTCGCGCAGATTGATCCATACTGTGGTGTAGCCATATGACTGATCTGCAGACGCCACCACGATGAGACGCATGCGTACAGTGGTCTCATAGTCCAGCTTGCTGTTATCATTGATCTTTATTTGACCTGTCAATAAAAATATCAATTGTGATTTTCTAAACAGGCTGACTCACAAAAATTTACATCAATTTATCTGTGATGGGAATCTATTTTGTTGCTTAAAGTTGGATTCATTATCATTTTCAAATTATTTCAAACTGCTTATAGCATAACATAGCAAGCACACACACAAGGTAACCCCAGTCTAATAGTGCAAGTCTGACCTAAACAAGTCCTGTCTGAGCACACACATATACATACATACCCTGTGAGTCAATCCTGAAAGTTTTATCTTCATTTCCGCTGGCAAAGCTGTACTGTATTGTTCCTGAACCACCTCCGACAAAGTTTGCCGTCACCTTGACAACATTGGTGCCTCTTGGCGTGTTTTCCATCAGGTACACAGAGTAGGTGTGGTTAGTGAAACGCAGGACACCCACATTGGGGTTGCCAACACGAATTCCAAGGACTCCTGAAAGAAGAAAAGAACAAGAAAAGTTTAACAACATTACAGATTTATTCCATACCAATACATATCACAATCACAAACCTTGACAATTTTATTTAAAAATTCAAACTGTTTAGCTTAGTTTTGTATAACAATGAAAATCCCAAGTTAATATTGTAAATAGCAGTCTTGTATATTATGTATATGTTTACTTTCCACTAATAGGTATCAACATGAGCAGGCAAAAACCAACTTACTGACTGATCTTAAAGTAAATGCCTCACAAAGTAATAAGCAAAGGAACAACTCAATTCTACAACAGAGCTGAAGCATGTGTTCTTCAAAGAAAACTGTACACAAGTATCAGACATAAGCCTAAGTAAAAAAAAAAAAAAAAAACTCTGAACATTTTTCATGGGACCCAACACCTAACCCTGACGAATCTCAGGAACCATCAGAATTGAATTACAAAAAAAGCGGAATTCAGCTTTTCCATGGAAAGAGCTCATGTCCGAGTATTTAAGACCCCTTTGGGTATGAACCACTTACCCACTGACGACAGTGGTGGTGACCCCCTGTCTGTGGCTATAAGCTGTAGCTGATGATATCCTACAGAAGACTCCCCGAGACTGGCGCCCTTTACTACCACCCAACCAGTGTTGGGGTTGATAGCAAAAAAGTCTGACTCAGGAGATATAGTGTAGACAATCTGGGCGTTACTTCCTGCATCCTTGTCTGCAGCACGGATCTGCGTCAGCTGGTGGCCATTTTGGAGTCCCGTGGAGGCGTTAATGGTCAGTTGTGTTGTTGTGAACACAGGGGCATTGTCATTGACATCGTCTATGGTCACAGCTATGGTCACTTTCTGCTGACGAGGGTCGTAGAGACCACCATCTGTAGCAGTGACTTCAAAAGTGAAGCTGCTTTTCTTCTCACGATCAAAATGTCTGAAAACAATCCACACTAAGTTGCTCAGTCTATTTACCTATTTACCTTGGTTTTATTCTTAAACGAAATCATTAATTTATCAAGCTGTTATTACACCTATGTTACACAGCCCATACATAAATATTTAATCAAAGATTTATTACAATAATTTCTGCAACAAAACTGTAAAAAAACAATAAATAAATATATTAAAATCTTTGTTTTTCACATAAGGTATTTTTTATACTAAACCCACAACAATGCATAATCAACATCTATCTACTTGGTCTGATAACACATCAGACTTAGCCAAAACACTCACCCTGCAGTAAGAATTTCCCCTGTAACATTGTTAATCTTAAACAGTCCATCTGTTTGGGAGTCGTTATTAAGGGAGTAAGTTATGATACGATTATTGCCTGCATCTGCGTCTGTGGCACTGACATTCACAACGGGTGTGTTCACTGGTACGTCCTCCAACAACGTGGCCGTGTAACGAGGTCTACGGAACACGGGACTGTTGTCGTTCAGATCAGAAACAATGACTATCACTGTGCATGTCCCACTGCGAGGTGGCTGTCCGTTGTCTGTAGCTGTGATGGTCAGGTGATATTGGTCCTGTCTCTCTCTATCCAAGGCATCACAAGACAAGGCACCTGTGGTGGGGTCTATAGAAAACTTGCCTCCTTCATTGCCAGCTGAAGTTGAGGAATGTTGATATGAAATTAGGCGACTGTGTTTATTGTCATAATATTGTGGTTACTGCAGTAAGTAATGAAACAATGCTTGGCATATTTCTTGATAAAACATAAGCCTGTTCAAATTAAGATGAAATAATATATCCGTGGTGAAACTATTAACTGATAAATATTCTGCCTGTTTGAATTAAGATGAAAATATGCATGGCTTGAAAAAGTATTATCTGATAAAACAAATGCCTGTTCAAATTATGACAAAATGGAGGGTGGTTTGTGCGAATGTCACCGTTTAACACTAATGTCTGTTCCGATTACCAAACATGTATGGCAGGTCAGTGAAAGTATTACTTCATAAAACATAACATGTATGGCAGGTCAGTGAAAGTATTACTACATAAAACATAACCTTGTTCAGATTACCAAACATGTATGGCAGGTCAGTGAAAGTATTACTTCATAAAACATAACATGTATGGCAGGTCAGTGGAAGTATTACTTCATAAAACATAACCTTGTTCAGATTACCAAAGTTCCAACATGTACCACCATAATATATTTTTCCTCTCAGAACTTCCAGGCTGTGCCAGACTAAACAAAACTTCAGAGTGAATTTGATGAGAAAATGCCATTGAATCTTTTCCCTGTGATTATATAAATATCAGTTAATAGGTAAGGTCTATGGAAATGTGAAAACTGCGCCCTACCAACTTAAAATGTGAACCCATAAAATAGAAAATGCCTCAAATCAATTGGTGTCACATGAACCTTTTATGAACCACATCCAAAATCAAAAGACTGTAATTTTTGTCAAATTGGTAAAGCAATGTGTTGTTCCTTGCACTCCATTTATCTTCTTATTTCAGCTGATGATTTTAAACACAAGAGTGTATTTATTCTAACCTTTGTCTTACTTGATCATGAAGAAAAATACAGGAAAATTACTGCATCAAAACAGTTAGTCAGAAGTTTGTTTGGTTAAACATGAGTGACTAAGAAAGAGAATTGACAAAACATTCAGCAAACCAGATATGACGCAAATACAAGTTCTCTTTGTGATCAATAAATAAGTTTAAACCAATTTCAAGAAAATACCAGAGAAAATGTGACTAATTTAAAAGATATTTGGACCTCAAAGGGTCTTCAATAGTACAAAAAGACAAAAAAGATATAATAGGGCTATCAAACCATCCTGGACAAGACGTGATCTTTTGTTGTGAATATTCTGCATCGTGCCTATCTATACACAAATTTAATGTGAAAAAAATAAATAAAAGAAAATAAATAAATAAATAAATAAATAAATAAATAAATAAAAGAAGAGAAATAAAGAAGTACTACGAACAATGGCTAATAGTTTTCACGTACCAGATATGGTGTAGCTTATCTGGCCGTTAGTGCCAGAATCTGCGTCCATTGCTGCCACCTGGTGGATCTCTGTGTCATCAGAGTTTTCTGGTACAGTTAGGCGATAAATTTCATTCTTGAACACTGGTGTGTGGTCGTTGGTGTCCAGTACGTCCACTATGATGGTAGCCGTGTCGTACTGGGACGGGTATGCGTTGTCTCGCACGTAGGCTAAAAAGCACAAACACAAGAATAAACTGAATATATAATTGCTTGTCGAAAAAAAATTTTGTTAGAAAAACTGAATGCAACTCATGTTTGCTTTCCATTTGTTTAAATTAATATTTTGCAAGCAGATTTTGAGCAAAAATTTGAATTTCAAGAAAACAACCTATTATTAGATACCCATAAACTCCTGTATAGTTTCTGCAAATGTGGCGAGTTATAATTCTGTATGCAATGTTCATGAATAATGCTGTCGTAAAAAAAGTTAGATAACCGCTAATTTTGACTACTTGACTTGCTGATATAGGGAAACAGGAAAAGTTTTTATTTCCTGTGCGTCTGCTCACAATTCAGAATAAAATAAACAATGTATCTATAAAATAAACAATGTATCTCTGTACCTGTGATGATGTAAGAGCTCTGAGCCTCTCTGTCCAATTCCTCTCTCGTACTGACCACTCCTGTGACATTATTGACCCCAAACTTGTTCCCTGCTATCCCATACGGGATAAGGTAGATCAGGTCTCCATTAGGACCTAGTAGAGAAACAACAAGGATATCAGATAAAGTATGTATTAGGTATAAGTTAGAGGTATTCAGTGACAACTCCTGCCATACTCATCATATCAAGGTCATATAAGAAGGCATGTAAAATCCATACTGTCAGCTAACAGACATCTGCAGTAACGCCAGCTCTTGTAAATTTTCCTGATTCAATTCAGTGCTGATCGAACAATAGTAGTTTGAAGGGTTTAACCTATAAGTTTACAGATTGTTGGTGACGTAAGACATTTTTATCTACATATTAGTGTAGCTTTACCTCTGTCCAGATCCGTGGCTCTCAGGGTGGTAACATACGTCGGGGCGGACATGTTCTCGGTGACATTAGCCCTATAGACGGTCTGCTCAAACTTTGGGGGGTTATCGTTCACGTCAATGACTTGTATGGTGACCAGCTGGGTGGCGCTGTGACGGGAAGGACTGCCATGGTCCGTTGCACTGACGTTGAGGATATACTGTTCTTCACGCTCTCTGTCCAATATGGAGGAGATTGTTAGCAGGCCTAGGGTGGACAAGAATAGATAAATTATTTTTAAAATAAATAAATAACTGAGCAAACAAGTATATATTTATAATTAAGTTTTTGGAGAGTCAATACATCAACTGGACAGTTATGGAGTCTTAACCACAGAATTGCGTTCATCTTAACTGACCTTAATGTGTAAATCAATTAAACAAACGTTTAAGACATGAAATGTAAGCTTATCATAACTGATCAATGATAGCCTATAATTAAGTTAGACAAGTATTGAATTTTGATCAATCAAACTCAATTAAGACATAAGCAATTATTTGCCATGTATTTGACCTGGCAGTTAATTAAGCAGTATACTTTTAGTCATGTGTCCAATATTGCGGTTAATTACTAAGTTATATAATATTGCCAGTGAAAGAATCCAAGACAGAATGGTGAGGTAGCCAGACTTAAAGTGACAGTGAAATGCAAGGTAAGCTACAAGATTTGTATGCAGTATCTAATCACACAGACATATGAACTAAATTCTTATATTACCTGTATTGGAATCCAAGGCAAAATGGTGATCCACGTCTCCGGATACAATGCTGTAGGTGACGTTACCGTTCTGGCCAGAATCCTTGTCCACAGCAATCACGTACATCAGCGGATATCCCACCGGCTCATCTTCAAACAGGAACGTCTTATTTCTGGACACAAAGATCGGGGCATTGTCGTTCTCATCCTCAATACTCACTAAGACAGTCACTGTCGTCTCTTTACGGTCATTTATATTTGTGGCTTGGTCAGTGGCACGGACAATCAGAGTGACCTAAAAAATAAATTTCACTTTTATTATTTTTATAACACTTTCAGAGTTTGACCTTCTAAATAGTAACTTGTATTCTATTTTCTCATATTTCCTCACTTGTTTTGAGTTCTTCCTATTTTTCTCCATATGTCTACATCTGTTCATTGCAACATGAATTTCATTTTCATAAAGTGCACAATTCAAACTTTCACTCTGAACTCTTCATATTCAATCATGCCATATTCCACATCGTTACCTGATTGATAATCTCGTGGTCAATGTTCCTGGTCGTCCTCAGGGCTCCAGAGTAGGCATCAATAGAGAAGTACGCTCCACTGGGCGACTGGCTGACTATACTGTACATCACACGCCCGTTATCACCGCTGTCTCTGTCATTAGCATGGAACGTATACACCAAATGATTGACACCAACGTTTTCACGCACACTGGTCCAAATTGGGTCGTTTTCAAATAATGGGGCATTGTCGTTGATGTCGGCAACATTGATGGTGACATTGATAGCTGTTGTATAGATGTGACTGTCAACTGCATTGACAATGAGACTGTAAGTGGAACTCGCTTCAAAGTCTACCTCCCTTGCACTGTAGATGGCACCAGTGGTGGTGTTCACGCCAAATATGGCAATATCCAGCGGTCGACTACTGATGAGATAGTAAGCCATCAATTCTGGGTGGTCATTTTGCAGCCTGGCACTGCCTATGACAGAACCAATAGGAATGCCTTCCTGGATATCAAATGTCAAGAACTTGGAGGGTGAACCAGGCTGGTCAGGGGTACCATCATCTAGAACGGTGATTTCTACAATCTTCTTGCTCTCCTGGTGGGGAGTCCCGCCATCCCTTGCTATGACAGTCAGGGAATACTTGCTCTTCACTGCTCTGTTCAGTACCTCCGCTGTTGTAATTAAACCAGTGCGTAGGTGGATGTGGAACATCTGGTAGTCCGTACCAACACTAGCATCAAAGGCATAGGACACAGTCCCATTTACACCGAAGTCATCATCATAAGCGGAGACTTTAATAACGGAGGTCCCCTTGACCTGGTTCTCCAGTACATCTGCGCGGTACAATCCTGTCTGCAGGAATCTGGGGCTGTTGTCGTTCAAATCCTGAATAAAAATGGACACCTCAGCCGAGGCACTGAGAGGAGGATTTCCCTGATCAGTGACACGAATATTGAAATTGTAGTGATCCCTCGTTTCTCGGTCAAGTTCCTTTTTGGAAAGGATTTCTCCACTGTCCGTATTAATGTCAAAATATTCATTGGAGGAAATCATGGAGTACCTGAGCCTGGCGTTGACCCCTGTGTCATTGTCAGTAGCAGTTACCGTGGCAACCACACTGCTGACTGCCTGGTTTTCTGGGAAGTAAAACTGATATGGAAGTCCAGTAAACTGTGGCCTCTCATCATTGGCATCAGTCACAGTAACAATAAGAGATGCAGTGGCCGTTTTCTCTGGAATACCATTATCTATGGCTAAGACGTTCATCCTATACTCCTGCTGTCGTTCTCTATCTAACGCCTCACGTAGATACACCCAACCATCGTTGGAGAAGATGCCAAATGCCTGCCCAGCGGCTGTTCCTTGGAGCCGATATGTGATCCGAGCATTGTTCCCGGAGTCCAGATCTGTGGCGTTGACTTGAAGGAATTTCTGATTGACAGAAGTGTCCTCCCTGACCTGCACCCGGTACGGATTCTGTTGGAATTGTGGGATATTATCATTGACATCTTGGACGTTGAGGACAATAGTCATACTGCTGTTGTATTGTGGGATACCTAGGTCATATGCACTGACCACCACTCTATACTGCTTTGTCCCCTCATAGTCCAAGGAGCCACGCAGACGCAGCTCGCCTAAATATACAAGATTTTACATGTTTCATTACTGTTGTGGAAAATGTCAAAATAATTATGCAAACAACTTTCATTCCACAAAAATTCAGAAAAAATATTTCAAAATCTATAGGAAAATTGAAGAATATGCAAACAATTTTCACTTGGCAAAAAATTCGGAAAAATCCACGCTGTCTCAAATTATATTTCCCCATTATCATCTTAGCACTAGCATCAAAAATATTCTCCACAACAATGCACAGGTGTCAGAAAGTCTTTACCTGTTGCAGCATCTATCTGGAAGGTGTTGCCAGGATTCTGGAGCAGTTTGTAGCGCACCTCTCCATTGTTTCCGCTGTCCCGGTCTGAGGCATGCACCTGGTATATAGTGTGAGCTGTGCCGACATTTTCCTTGACAGGAATCTCGATGTTACTGACTTGAAACTGAGGTGCGTTGTCATTCACGTCATCTAAGGTGATGTTGACCTGAAAACAACAGAAAATATCACATATTGTTTAAGTTAATTTGGCAATCAGTCTTTGCTGGTCCTGTTATAATCACAATTTATTCAAAATTGCTTTCAGACCATCTCCAGAGAGATTTGCCTGCTCCTCATCACTCTCTAATCTGTGAGTTGAGAAGTCAGCAACGCGGAGAGCAGGTTTATACAGTGATAAAGATGGCTCCCAGCCTGACTCCCATCACATTGTCTACTACCTGGAGTTAGTCTAAAGACAGCTAAAGTTCATATGATTCTGTATGCAACCTATGTCCTATAGTCAAAGTTGAGTGTCAGATCTTACCTGTGCCCTGCCAAATATTGGTGGACTCCCACTCTGGGCCTGTATAGTAAGCAGCACCGTGGCTGTCGTCTCGTGGTCGATGTTTGTCTTAGTACGTATCACCCCAGAGCTGGCATCAATGGCGAAGTACTGGTGGGGGTCCCCTGATTCGATGGAGTAGAAAATAGTGCCTGCCGCTGGGAGAAAATAAATAAAAAGTTCTTATTATGCTATCCAAATAGACAATTATGTCCATTTAAAATTTTTAGCAAGCATTATGGACAATTTATTATAATGAGGAATTTATCACCTTTTGTGATTAAATTTGTTCAGAACATGTTCACAATTGTAAAATCTTTTGAACAAGATGGATTTTTGCTCCCAATTTCAGACTTCAGAGATTGAAAAAAATCCTAAACCTTGGCTGCAACCAGTTGCTTTCTCCTTTTTCATTTTTATTGCTCCCTTGCATTGTGTGCATAAAAAAGATGTACAGTGAACACAGTAAAGGTTTGTCCTGGATTTCCCAGTGCTTCACTCCATCAATCAACCACCGCCATTAATCAGAAAGCAACCCCCAAGTGGTCTGGGGCTTCACTTAATGGGAATCCCAATAGGCTGGGCTTGTATATTATTTTCTGTGGCTTGTACTACTGTACTGCTATGTATGCTTAAACATATTAAGGTTAAGCATCNCCGCTGGGAGAAAATAAATAAAAAGTTCTTATTATGCTATCCAAATAGATAATTATGTCCATTTAAAATTTTTAGCAAGCATTATGGACAATTTATTATAATGAGGAATTCATCACCTTTTGTGATTAAATTTGTTCAGAACATGTTTACAATTGTAAAATCTTTTGAACAAGATGGATTTTTGCTCCCAATTTCAGACTTCAGAGATTGAAAAAAATCCTAAACCTTGGCTGCAACCAGTTGCTTTCTCCTTTTTCATTTTTATTGCTCCCTTGCATTGTGTGCATAAAAAAGATGTACAATGAACACAGTAAAGGTTTGTCCTGGATTTCCCAGTGCTTCACTCCATCAATCACCCACCGCCATTAATCAGAAAGCAACCCCCAAGTGGTCTGGGGCTTCACTTAATGGGAATCCCAATAGGCTGGGCTTGTTTATTATTTTCTGTGGCTTGTACTACTGTACTGCTATGTATGCTAAAACATATTAAGGTAAAGCATCTTTCTAATGGACTTAAATCATTGAATTTTGTGTCTTAAATTATTTCTGTCTGATATGCAAGATCATGAATTGTACATCAGGTTTTAAGGACTAAAAGACATTACATATATAATGCAAGTTCACATCCATCTTTCAGTATAATATATTTACTAAAACTCAGTTGATATATTTCTACTTTAAGCCAGTGTCACATTCATGTAGAAAAACAGAATACTTAGTAATGTACAGCAATCTCTACTTTCCATATAGCAGTGACAAGTTATGATTCCCTGTCAACCAGAATGAAGCTGTTTTAACAGCTATAATAACAGTGACAACACATCCCCAGAGCACCTGTTTCTGTCTTCAGTGATACCACACTCCCCACTAGGATGTGTATGGTCCACAGAGGATACTGCATTAATTGCTACACCAGGCTTAAGTGTCACAGCAATTTATCAAGTCATACTCTCCACTGCATTGAGCTGACTAGATTGACACATAGCATTGATTACCTATAAACCACAGCTTACAGCAGACCAGACACATAGCACATAATAGGACAATCTGGGTATGTTGTTGTCTTATATTTTCAACAATTTGTGGAGTTGAACTCAAATTTTCCTCTTTTTTTTTTTTTTTGCACTGTCTTTTATTTTCACTACAACCTATTAAGCTCAGGGAATATTAAATATTTATTTGAATTTTTAGTCATTTTATAACTAATTTGAGTAAAGAATCTCAGCTTCTTGGGTTAATACAAAACTTCCAGTAAATCTCAACTGCTCTGTGGAGTGTGTCAAAGATCATATTCAGCCATGGTCCAGGGCCCAGGCCCCTAGTTCTCAGCCCGTAATATGGATATGAAAGTGGTTTAGGTCAGTACATTGTGTCTAGTCCATTGCCCTGGATTCAGACAACTAATCCTGATGTGATTAAATCATCCATTATCTGCATCACATCTCATCATCAATTTACACCAACCATTCCAGGATTTGATATCTCCCCTCACTGCCTGTGTACCAGGATTTGATATCTCCCCTCACTGCCTGTGTACCAGGATTTGATATCTCCCCTCACTGCCTGTGTACCAGGATTTGATATCTCCCCTCACTGCCTGTGTACCAGGATTTGATATCTCCCCTCACTGCCTGTGTACCAGGATTTGATATCTCCCCTCACTGCCTGTGTACCAGGATTTGATATCTCCCCTCACTGCCTGTGTACCAGGATTTGATATCTCCCCTCACTGCCTGTGTACCAGGATTTGATATCTCCCCTCACTGCCTGTGTACCAGGATTTGATATCTCCCCTCACTGCCTGTGTACCAGGATTTGATATCTCCCCTCACTGCCTGTGTACCAGGATTTGATATCTCCCCTCACTGCCTGTGTACCAGGATTTGATATCTCCCCTCACTGCCTGTGTACCAGGATTTGATATCTCCCCTCACTGCCTGTGTACCAGGATTTGATATCTCCCCTCACTGCCTGTGTACCAGGATTTGATATCTCCCCTCACTGCCTGTGTACCAGGATTTGATATCTCCCCTCACTGCCTGTGTACCAGGATTTGATATCTCCCCTCACTGCCTGTGTACCAGGATTTGATATCTCCCCTCACTGCCTGTGTACCAGGATTTGATATCTCCCCTCACTGCCTGTGTACCAGGATTTGATATCTCCCCTCACTGCCTGTGTACCAGGATTTGATATCTCCCCTCACTGCCTGTGTACCAGGATTTGATATCTCCCCTCACTGCCTGTGTACCAGGATTTGATATCTCCCCTCACTGCCTGTGTACCAGGATTTGATATCTCCCCTCACTGCCTGTGTACCAGGATTTGATATCTCCCCTCACTGCATGGGTACAGAGACCAGGGGCACATGTTAGTGGGATAATCTTTTACCAAAATTTTTTACTGATATTTCAATTAGATTGTACCGAAAATATTTACTTAGTTTCTCATGAAAGTATAATTGTATTAATTATAACAATGACAATATTTTCAATTAACAGGCAGAATGATAAGTCTAATTTAACTGCAGAGCTAACCAACCTTTAAGCTACATTCTGTGCAGACAATGTTGCATGTGTGTCTCTATGTTAATGAAATTACTGGAATGCTTTGTTTTTTACTGCTACAGGGAAACAACAAAAAAAAAACAAAGAATTCAGACCTCAGGGGTTCACCTCATTATCTAAATGACTTCTGCAAATATTTCAACTATGAGATTAATTTGTGATTCATCACAATGGCTGCTGGTGTCAATTGTTTTATTACATGTGAGATTTTTAGTTTGAAACAATCTACCCAACTGACAAATCTCTAATTGAGAAAATTCTGAAAGGAAGGGTGGTCTACACATGATATTTTACAAACCGCAGAATGTTTCAGGGATCCAGAAAGCCAACATTTTTCTGGGGTTTTCTTCAGTGCTAAAAGAGTTGGATTCTACCCTTTAAAATTGGAGAAATCGGCCGAGTAGAACTAATATGCTGCTCAAAGAACATGTTATTTCTAGTTTTTGTAGCTACAAACTCTGTCTTGCAGCCAAAACTCACAGCAGACTACACTTAAATCCAGCTCAAATAAAACAAATAAAGTTTTCTGTTGCTAAATCAAATTGAATTTAATCCTGCTCAAATGGGGGAAAAAAGCTCAGTCTCTTTCCCAATTCAATGGAGGGCACTTGTAAAAACCATTGTAAACTTGTGTTGTGGCCATGTTGCCTGGCATTCAGTCTGTGGCCATTAATTACGTTAACCACGCTGACTTACATCATTGACTTCTAAATTTACAAGCACCGACACATGTTATTTTCTTGTAAAAAAGTTAAGTACATGTTTGTAGGATTGCCCACATCAAACCAACTCACAGTGAGTCAATGTTTTTCTACGTTAGCAGGCAGTTGGCTAACCATGGATATACAGTAATTGTTGTATGTGGAAAGGTCAAATAAAATTCATTCTACCACTCTTCTGTTTGTCTTGATTCTTGTGAAGCAGAAGTGGAAAAGCAAAGCTTGGGAAAGAGCAGAAAACATAAATAACCAAATCTCTGAAACGTGCAGGAGACTTATTCAACAAATTATGATGACAAATTGTTCTGTGGCATTAGCAAATTTGCAGCCATGAGTAAATGGGCCACCCAACTGAAATATCCCCTCAGGATATTACCACTTGCGTCATTGCTTCTCTACAAACCCCAGGGGCAAGGGGACCTAGCGCACTGCTCAACAACTGGTGTCTTATGTTCTAAAGGGTTACACGAGAAAACCAGCTCTAAAACCACTTTCTCATAATCATTTTTTTAAGACAACTCAGTACCAGATCCTTAAAAATGATTTTTGTCATTATTGTATGTTAGTAAGAGAATAAAAGTCTCTCTCTCACTGCATGTATGTGTGTATATGTGTGTATATATGTGTATATGTGCACATACACTTGCATCTGAGTGTTCAAAATTGGCTCCCATTTGAGAACACACAAGCATTCAAGCGCTCAATAACAATACTGTACCACCAGTAATATGCCTTAAATATTATAAATCTCTGGTTTCCCCCATAAGAAATTCATCCCAACTGTCACCCAAGCCTGAGAAGACCTACCTGGATTAGTATTGCTGGCCTGTACAGTACCAACAGGTGTCTGTGGGACGACATCTTCACTGATACGGAAACTGTACAATGGTCTGCTGAACACAGGGGGCGCCTGCTGAGAGTCCACTACGCTGACTGTAATGTTGGCAGTCTGTTCCGATTGCAAGCCACCGCCATCTTGAGCCTGGACGCGAAGATTGAAGATTCCAACCCGACTTCCCAGACTTCTCTGCACAGTGACAATACCTGGTGGAAATAGCGACGATAGAGTTAAGTTTTTTCTTAAAAGTGTAAAAGATACAGAAATCATTGCCATTTCATATTAATCAATGAAAGGTGATATCGCTATCGCAATTCTTTCGAGTTATGGAGCCTAACCATGTGCTCACCTGAATCTCTTCCAATGGTAAAGTACCCCTGTTCATTCCCACCCACAATACTATAGGTGATGGTGCCAAAGCTGCCGGAATCCCTGTCCTGCGCCGTCACCAGTACCACAGTGGTGCCAATGGCGCTGTCCTCCTCCACATTCTTATGGTACACCTGTGGGTAAAACACCGGACGGTTGTCGTTCACGTCAATGATGGTCACTTTGACCATAGCTGTAGTCTGCAGTCCATCTACAGAGACAAAGACATATGATTACTAGCAGTATGTCAGGAACATTTCCTTTATAAAATATTTCAAATTCCAACTGACCTACTGACTTTACTGTATAGCTGTGTTCACATTAGGAAAGATTTTGGACTGGACTTTGACCAAAAACTTGATAACACCAGATAACCACAGTTGGATCTATTTTCAGTCAAATGAGTTGTGTCTGAACAGATTATACAATATTAATATTTTTTCATCATGCTTTTTAATTCACCTAACAATGATTATATTTTTAAACATTTGCATATTTGGGTCAAAGTTATATGTAAAAAATTTTACTATTCTTCATTGGAATGCAGTGGTTTCTGATAAAATATCACAGTATTTTAAACAGGGAAATGGAAATAATGTAAACTAAGGCATAAAAAGCAAATACTTTTCTCTTTGCAGTATTCTCTGCCAGCTCCAAGGTCACTAGCATTGAACATATCTCAGACACACTGTCTGTGACGAATGTATTATACAGAACAGAAAACTGTGTCACAGCTACGTTTTCATAATAAATTGTCAATTTCTTTTCAATTTCAGGCCTGTTTCACAAATAAATGGGAGGAAAGTTCGCCAAGTGTCAGTGATCTGAATGTAGCAGTAATTTTGTGGCTTCACCTTCTTTTTCATGGTGTAGACGAACTAGCTGACATCTGTTGATACACACGCTAGCAGAGTTTGAATTCTACCTCAGTTTATTAGCCATGTTCATACCCCTAGGGGGGTGATTAAATTGGCAGAAAAGAAACGGATTAATGTATTGTGTGCTTGCATAGACTTCCACCAACACGGCCAAACTTAGCAGCTATTTGCTGGAGTACCTGTGGTTTCTTTTAAACATATAAACCCCACCTGCTCCTTGAAAGTCAGCAAAAACGTGTGTAGAATCTAATTTTTCCACATCCTGAATAACAAATCCAGACAACTTTTGTTTGAACTGTTATTTTGTGAGTTAAACAGACCATTATTCTCCAGACTTGTTATTACAATAGGGAAGATGGTGAAGGCTGCATTTCAGAATAAGTCATTATCAATTAACAAGATCCAACTGAGCAAAATAATTCATCAGCCGGGTACATATATAGTCCATATAGTAAGATCTTGATATGACTCTCTCAAATTAGGTCTAAGGTGCTTTACATGCATACAAACAAACACAGCCAAGTCTCAGAGCAGGGAACACTTCTGTTCCGCATACCAAGTGAGACAGTTCTGTTGACCTGTTCCTCAAGGTCAATGATGACATTGCAAAGGTTAAACAAGAGAAAGTCAAGCCTGACATGCAAAGAGAGAAATTTTACTTGAATCCATTTTGAGAAAAACATGCAGATTTACATAATCATTATACATGGGGGGTTAGTATATGATTTCAAAAGTGAGAACATGACTGCATGTTGTACAGAAGAGAATAACCACAGCATACTTGGTTTATGCTATGATATGAATATTCAGAGTGTAAGTAACATGTCTGCCAAGGTTTATATCATTATAGTATTTAAAATGCCTGCCAAAGCCTTCAGATCCTTGTCTGTGGCCACATAACATAAAAGATGTAGGTTTTAAGTTTTGTCAGTGTGTCCTAATCTCCTGGCTAAAACAGAATAATGTATTTGCGTGACCTTGGCAGGGAGAAGTTTTGGGTGTTGTGTAAGGACCTGATGAGGAGATCTTTTGTGTCGGGTCCTGAGACAGTTTCCCTAGCGGGGGTTCCTCCACAGGGACTCGTGAAATCAGCAGGTGGGAAAGCTCGGATAACGCCGCCAGGATTGTTGTTACCGCATTTCATCACCCAAACTGCTGCTTGTTGTATTGTTGTTGCAAATTCTCATGAGAGATTGTCATTACTCAAATGTGTTCTTCACTAAGCAGAGCAAAACTTCATCCAAAGTCAGACTTATCAATTTCATTCTGAAGGCAATAAAATTTGCTGATTCATACTTGTGAAATATATATCTAAAATATAGGTATTCTGTGTGCAGCACTATTATTTACATAAGTCTCAGTGGGAAATACAGTGAATGAAAAAAGCTCCCAAATCTGAACAAAAAGGCAGTATTAAATAACATTATTATATTTTTCCTGAATGTATTATGTGATATGAATTTTTTCATACAAAGTTAAATAATCTTGCACTTTTTAATTCTCTTAAAAACATGACAGCATCTGAAAAATTGGTCCTCACATCAGGGATTCTCTAAAACGCACTGAACAATGGCGGACGACAGGCGGAGCCAATCAATCATCTCTAATTTTTAAACAATTTAATATATCGTTTCAAAAAAGCTATAAAACTCGATAAACTGAGAGGTGCATCCATTCACCTGAGCTGAGGCAAAAAGTGGGACTTCTGGTTTTGTATTGGAAACCTAACAAATGTTTTGCGCAATCATTGCACCCTGATACAGATAGAGGTATTAATTCCATTTCTCATATTGCACAACAAATGTCAGGGTTAGGATGTTTTTTTTTTCAAGTACACAAGTCCCTGAAACAGTTGAAGCCTTGATAGAAAGTGCCAAGCCACTTTATGTTTACAGTGGTTTCCTTAACCAAACCTATATGGAAACAATTGGTATTGTGTTTCTAAAGAACTGACATGTGCACAGTAAAGTGACTCTCAGAGAACAATCTGGGAAAACTTGAGTCGAAGATGACCTTCAAGAGGTCCTCAAACCAAACAAAAAATTCAAACCAAACCTTTTGAAAACACTTAAAATATCTCAAAACTTCACAGATGATTACTCTTAAAGAGCCTTACCCAGGTCCTGCGCCATGACGGGAAATTCGTAGGAGCTCTTCCTCTCAAAGTCCAGTTGCCGCGTGATACAGATCTTTCCAGTGCCATTTTGTATGTCCAAATCACCAGGATGCTGAAACCCCAGGCTGGTCGCTATCAAGTACGTCACCTGAGCATTCACACCACAGTCAGGATCAGATGCTGACACCTGCAAAATATTAAAGTTAAAACAGATAAACAAAAAATATATAAAAGCATCCAAGATAAGACTTGTCAGTACAGCTACAGCAGAGAATATATATCATATAATATCATGCAATATCAATTCTTAAGAACTCCAAATTTATAAAAACCAAACTCATGTAAGAATAAAAAGCACATAAGAATTTCACCATCAATAGTGAATAACATTTCAATAAACAGTGTTATTACATTCTCTTTGTGAAATCATAAGCCATCTGACACTTAAACCCTTTTAAATACTTCTCCTAGTATTAAGGGATCTTAGGCTCTAATGACATCATCTGAGTAAGAGGTTGATAAGTTAAATGACAGGTGTGACAGGGTCTGGGGCGAGTTTACACTGGCAAATATGAAACCGATCCTGAAATATTCTGTCTGATGTCATCAATCCACTAAAAATTAAAATTCATTAAGGTCTGCCTACAAGCTGTGTACTATTCATTCAGGTGGACTAGGGCTGGGCTGGAGACCATATGATCACAGCAAATGACCAAGAAACTTTTATTTCAATTTTCTTTTGATTTCTTATCATTATCCTCCTGTGTCAGCTGTCTTCAGGCAAAATCACCTGTGTATTCTAGCAGGTGTGATACCACTGTCCAGGTAGTACAGACTTGTTGTTACCTGGGTGTTACCAAGGAGATTAACTACACCTGAGTCTTTGTCACTAACTCCAAGACCAGCCTCATAAGACGTGTACAACAAAATTCTAATTATGGTCCACAATGCCTGGTACAGTTAAGAGCAGATGGGGCGACACAATGGGTCATCTTTACTATACTGAGGTGGTGTAGAAGTCTGAAGAAGGTACACTAAGCTGTACTGAAGACCCTAGTTAAGACTGTCTGAGCCTAGAGCTTGGGAGTATCTAGAGTAGCTGTACAGAAAACAGTTAAAAGAAAGTGATAGAATGTTACTTCTCCAACCTGATGACCTTTTTGAAACAATCTGCCATTGGGCGTACAGACTGACCACTTTGCTCACCTGGAGGAAACAGATCAAAATTTTTTATTCTTCCCAACTTTCCTGAGAAAATCTTAAATGCTAGTATACCTTCATTTTTTTTTCACCTTCACTAACACATGTGCATCGAAGCCATATTCTTTATAATTGTAACTGTATAAAAACATTCATTTATCATTTTAAACTCCATTAACAAAATGAGACACTAAGAATGTGCTGTTCATAAAGCTAATATTGCTCAATATATTCTTGATCAGGTGACATATTTACTATTACTAATCATATCAAGACACCCACATACTAGTACTACAGCTGTCAAACCTAACCTGCATGTTTGAACAAAAAAAGGCTGACTAAGTTAACTACGAACTATGTCAGGTATTTATTGTCTGTATTTATCACCAAACCATAAAATTGAACAGTGCTGAATAAAGAATTTCCTGCTGGCAAAAAATGCAGTAATAACTGTCCCGGGAGAGGGATCCATAGTGGTCATTGTATCAGTTCAACTGGTCCCCTTTTTGGACCCGGTGACCGCTATCACTTCAGTCAACAATCACTGGAATCTGGTCTATTACTCCTCCTCACACTATCAATGTCTGTGGTCTGTGGACAAGGGATACATGACACCCAGGAATTACTGTGTTACAATTTCAGGATTACGCGCCTTCATTATTAAGCTTTGTGTGCAATAAGTACGCCATTGTCTGGTGACACGCAGCAGTCTGGTTGTGACAGTAGCAGGTTGTGGTACTTAGATGACAGTTTTCATTTAATCCCAGACCAGCAGAAATGTCAATACAGGTGACAGGGACAAGTTAATTAAGTATTTTAGTGACTGTAAGTCTCTGTTACTTTGTGTGAAGAGAACACAGGGGAACACAATGATTTTAACTAAATGGCATTATGGAAAAGCAACAAGAAATCCAGTCAAATTTCAAGTGGCATTCCAAATTACCTAATATTTCAAAATTTAAGGCACTGAATATCTTCTTATTTGACATTTAAAACAAATACTTTCTTCAACCAACTGTTACAACTATTGCATAATTTCTAACAACACAAAGCCTATGATCCAAATGGGAGAAAAAAAACCCCAAAATGTGGCACAAGTTGTCATGACAACAACCATGGGAATCCATCTGTGTACAGCCAAACAGACTTCATTGTTCCCTGGTAGTATGAATTCCTGAGCTTACAACACTTAGTTACCGCTGAAATCAAAAACACAACTGGCAACACCCACTTTTGTCCAGTGCATGGTGCACCTTTCTAACTCCGCTATTATCAAAGAGAAGTGAGAGCCGGTCCGGGGCATATCACATCCTTTAGTTTTTAGTGCAAAAATATGAGAAGGTCTTTGATCTAGCGGAGAGGGCAAGGCTTCCCAAGTTGAGAAACGTGTCACAGGAATTGTTTCCTGTATTTCTACCACTCATATTTCTTTAATTTGCTGTTCCTTTATGGATTAGAGTTGAATTGAGGAACAAGCAGGACAATCAAAATATGGAATTTCAACCATGAAAATGAAACTTAGCAAATATGCATGTCAAACAAGCAACTGCACTATAATTTTTAAGCACCATGCATGTGAAAAATATAATTTCTTTCAGCAAATATTTGGTTAATAACAAACTAAAGGCCAGTACCACACAGTGCTTGGGGCAAGAGAAATGGAAATTCTTCTTATTTTCCTACTCTATTCTACTGTTGGAACATAAATTATTATTTTCCTTATCTCATCACAAAATGGCATTCCTAACCAACAAACTATTTAAATTCTAAGAGCCCAAGCCCTCTATCACTATCTCTCATCTCTCCCTGCTACAATCCTAAACCACTTGTATAAACTTTCTGTGGTCAAATTAAAATCAGAGAGAGAAATAAAAGAGAACAAGCAAATTATGGAGATATGGGAGTCAGGTGAGAGGTAAGCTTTCAACCTCTCTGTTTGATCAGGAGACCGTGACTGCTATCAACCCAGTAGGGACTCGAGGCTCATTACCATAACCCTCAGGGTCATCTACATGACAAGATCATGCCCTAGACAAGAATTCCACACCTTCTCCTTACACAATCCATGTTCCTGGCCCTGCAGGTTGATAATGTCCCCCCAGTAGTGGCACAAGCACCTGCCTCACTGACCCAAGATGAGTCAAACATTAGTATGCTGAGCCACTTCACCTAATGTGAAAACAATGATGACTTATGTGTCATTTGTCACCCTGCATGGCTCCCAGCTCGACCTCAGCTGGTTTGTCTCAATGGGAACAGATTCAATTAAAAGACAAGTCAGCGTCTACAGGGAGCTGTAATAAAAGTGAAGATGATCAACAGTCTTTGATGCTGCTTCCTATAACTTCCCATTAAGTTGAAATGATACTGGACAAGTACCTCTTTACCACTGCCTGATAACAAAGACGACGACTCGGATAAAAAGAGAAGATATTAGAGAAGATATTATTTTCTATTTCATCAAAAGAACTCATTCCTCCTTGATATCAAGATAATTTTCTTTATAACTGAACTCCTGTATATCATACTAAACAAGTCAAAGCAATAAAAATATTCCCATAAAATCTTGGATCACCTAGCCCAGCTCTGCTTATTGCACTGCAAGTTTAGAACAATTCTACCTTTGCTGCATCTGTTTATTTCTTATCAGAACATAATACTGGTGTAAATAATTCTCTACAACAACACCTGCTTGTTATCTCTTTATCAACATCACAGGGAACAAACAGCATTAAGTATTATGATACTGTACAGGTAGGAAATTACCCATGTTTGTCTGCTATCAGTTGTATGGCAGTAAATAGTGTCAAGTTGTGACTACACTTCAACTTACTCATATCAGTTGATATCTGGACAAACTTGATAAATGAACATTCCATCTATAAGTATGTCTTTATCGCTCCAAGGCAGCCATCTTGCCTGTGCTGCCCCCCCCCCCCCCCCAGCCACCCACATTGCTGTGCCGTCCACACATTTCTTGAACTTGATGAGTGAAATGTATAAATTGTTTAAGTATCCATAAACATGAACTTTCTTCTGGATTTGTAAATTTTCAATTCATACTGCAGTTAGGTCAATTTTAGCTTCTGTTAGTAGTACGGACCCATATGTAATGCAGACATTTTTGTAATAGTAGGCCAGTTTCATATCTGAAGTTATCACTACAGTTATTATTTATCTGTGTTCTTTAATAACTTATGTCAGTGTCACGTGTACATGATAGTAGATGTCACCTCAGTTCTTATCTATCTTCAAATTCTTCCAATCTTGCTGACAGTTATGACATAGAAGGTGAGTCTATCAGCACAAAATACCACAGTATATCAGACCCAATTCACACCACCAGATTACTACTGCCATGTTGACACAGCCACCTTCATAGATCACATCATATCACATAGGTCACACTGACAGTTACACTGGGAGAATGATATAACCCCCCCCCCCCACCCCCATCAAGACTATGAAATGAAATTGGCTGCATTCCACATACAGAAACTTTACCAGTTCCAGTTAACTTGCTAATTAAATACTTTATAAATGTCAGTCTTCTGATACAAGATAGTGAGCTCATTGAACTCAGTGTGAACTACCCTGGGTAGTCTATCTCTTACATCTTAACTATGGAGATCTGTCGATCATTACATATATATCTATGTTATGCTGAAGTACCCGGTGTGTTTCCATATTAACTATCTGTACTCTGAAACCATTACCCTGTACACCTGGCATTTTAACTGATTGAAGTATTTCATGTCATCTTCAGTGACCCCATATTACAACACAACTTGTCTATCTCTAACAAACCTTTGGGTGGATCCTTTCCCATTTATCACTCCATCAATTTAAAACACAGCAGAAGTTTTATTTCAATCAATTAAAGAAATTCATGTAATAATTGAAAATATCTCAAATGTGATCATTTTCAGTCTCAGCAACTGTCAAATTCTCTGTTGAGTCTTTATCTGTTGTCATGTGGCTCTTATC